AGCTACAGAATTATCACACGGCTTAAAAACTCTATCCGTTTGAGAGCAGAAATATGTCGATCTGAGAACTGAGCACAGACTTCAGTGCACAGTCCCGAATACCTCATCACCTGAAAGCGACCGTATCCTAAAGCGACCTGAAAGCGACCGTATCACAGCCAACGCAGTGACATGAATATGGTTGTGATGTGTTTTTAACTACATCGAGATCGGCTCATAATTGATGGAGTTATGAGTGATGTGGTTTCTTGGAACGTGCTTTTTGCGTTTGATTCCGCTTATGTGTATGCGTTGAGTCCTTAAAAATGTCCACGGAGTCATTTGTAGATAGGATATTATCGCACTGCCGATGCTGTACTAAAATATGAGTTTTTTTATATATCATCTCGCTTAAGTTATAAATACAGAGTATTTAGGAATAACGAGTTAAGGAAGAATATATGAGTGCAATTAAAGGAGTCAGTTATGAATTTTTATTTCTTAAATAAGTCGTTAGGACCTGTTCGTAACCGAATCATTCTATTTTTCTTCCGGCGAGAGAGTCACCTAGCGGTTGCACTGGCAATGCCGCGGACGATCAGATCAGGGAACACGTCACTAGAACTTCCCAGGAAGCATGACATCGGTGACGGGATTTTTCCCACTCGGCAATTAGGTATATGCATATATATTTTATGATTAGGAAAAGTTGAGAAATGGTAAAACATTTTTGTTCATATCGCAAACAATAAGAAACGTGGTGTTGCATCCTATTTTATTCACATGTGGTTGTGAAATTTTCAGTAAACTGTCCAAAAAAATCCAGTGGAAATAAATATGTCAGATTCAAATTTTCTATAAATTCTTGAAATATATCTTTCATATCAGTTTCTGATGCATTCACTCAACCTATGATGAAAATTCCCATGGGTTGGGAATTTGATTGTCAAAACAGAGAAGGTGTCGTTCCGACAACAAAAAACGTGACCGCTGAGCAGTTGATAACTGGCATCGTACAGCAGCTAGCGGTGATGTTCTGGAAGTTTTTCAAAATATTATAATATTCCGGTCCCCAATTTTTTTGCCCTTTCTTTTGTTTTACAATAATGTAAGTTAATCACTTTATGTTTAGTTGATATTATGCTAACATTTTTTGGAGGGGCAATCAACTACAGTTCTATTTCAATTTAGGGCTGCAATCTGCAAGTCTGCGGTTGTTGATCGTCAACAGAAATCTATTTTACGACTAGTGCTGTCGCAGCTAGCATTTAGAGTTGATTCACGTCTGTAACTAAATGTGTATAATTTATTTAATCCTATCTATTTAAAATATATGCAAATGTAACAAAAGTTAGAATCGGCTAATAAAATGTTTTCATAGGTACCGTATGGATACGAAAATTGGGCTGTGATTTTGGACCATCTGAATCTCTGCCCTCTGGAGCTTCTTTTCATCTTGTTAATGATTTTGACAAGCCTGCCTAAATTCTAAAGATTTTGGTATTCTTAGAATGGTTATTCTTATCGTTCAAGCATAGTGGTAAATGAAATGCACCTCTGTTGACTTTCTTTCTGAAACTGAGTCCTATAACAGTCTTTAACAGAACTCAAGTACCTACCTACTCAAGTTAGTCAAGCATAGTTAGTATATACAATACAATGAAGTGAAAAAACTGGAGAGAGCCAGTATCCTTATCCTGTATATCAGCAATTATAACAATACTATAACACTAACATACAATGGCTGTGGCACAGTGCAGAGTTGGAAAATTGTTAGGTACCAAGATTACAGTTTTAGCCTTTTAGGTCCAAATTGTTGCCAGTAATCCACTGTGCAGAGAGTGGATGAATATTGAAGGATCTTTGGCGACGCTTCAGTAGCAAAATTTACGCTTTCAGAAGTTCTTGCCAACACATTTAGATTTAAATTCTTGCATTTGTAACATGCATGCAGCCTTGTAAATAAGTTTGTGGCTTGTAAATAGTTTTTCATTACTCAGCGTAAATGGTTTTTCATTAAAAATTACCTTGTGACGCATCTTAAAATTACCCAGCAATGCTTAGGGCTTAAAGCCTTAAAAACCCATATATTGGCGACGCTGCATCCACCCTCTGCACCCTGGCCAGTAATGAATCAGCAAGATCTGAAGATATTCTTTTTGATACTGATGTTTTCCCAACAAACTTTTAATGTATGCCTGTTCTCTGCACTCAGTGACAGACAGGGTATGATTCTACTGTTGAAGACACATAAGTTGTTACTCAAGAGTCAACAGTAACTGCACAGAAGTAGGTACCCTGCTGCAGGACTGACAGTAATCACTAATCAGGATTGGAATTTTTCTACTTGTTTCTTTCTGAAATCTTGCAGCTCCAACGTGACAAATTTTTAATACAATTGGAATCTTGCAGCCCAATCGTGCACTTTTGTTAACAATAAGGTAGGAGATAATTAATCTGGTGGAAATCTCATGGTTCTGAAAATGGAGAGAAAGTTCTAAGCATGGCCCTAAAGGTAGATGTTTTCCACTTTGTTGCTTGTGCACCATGCCATGGTGCCTGAGGCCTAATCTGGAATACTGGACAGAATTTTCCTGTAATTGCAGCCAAAAACAAATGTTAAACAGGTGATTTTCAAAATTATGAGGTAAAAATATGCTATTTTTTACTTTTTTTACTGTAGAAATTGAAGAAGATCTATAAAAATGGGGAAATCAAGGTTGAGGAAGAGAGACGAAGGCAAGGTTACGGAAGAGAGGAAGAGGAAGGCAAGGTTGGAGGTAGGAGAGAAAGAGGAAGGCAATTGAGGAGGAGAGGAAGAGGCAGGCAAGGTTGTAGGTAGGAGAGAAAGACTAAGGCCAGGTTGGGGAGGAGAGGAAGAGGAAGGCAAGGTTGGGGAGGAGAGGAAGAGGAAGGCAAGGTTGGAGGTAGAAGAGAAAGAGGAAGGCAAGGTTGGGGAGGAGAGGAAGAGGAAGGCCAGGTTGGAGGTAGGAGAGAAAGAGGAATGCAAGGTTGGGGAGGAGAGGAAGAGGAAGGCAAGGTTGAGGAGGAGAGAATAGGTTGGAGGTAGGAGAGAAAGAGGAAGGCCAGGTTGGAGGTAAGAGAGAAAGAGGAAGGCCAGGTTGGAGGTAGGAGAGAAAGAGGAAGGCAAGGTTGAGGAGGAGAGGAAGAGGAAGGCAAGGTTGAGGAGGAGAGGAAGAGGAAGGCAAGGTTGGGGAGGAGATAGGTTGCAGCATAGGTTCGTGAAGAAATATATATCGTTTCAGTTACTAAGGGAAGAGAATTAGGCGTCTTGAATCAATTATTGCCTTGTAACTGGGTCTTATATAGGAAATGTACATGATGTAAAGATGTTAATATCTTATCATATCAAGACACTTGAAACTGGAGATTCCTATCTAACTTGGCCTACCTATATTTACAGCTCAAGCAAGTGTCTAGCAACATTAATATTGAACATATGAACCACATTTCCTAGAATTCCATCCTGCTTTGTTAATTTATTAAACTTTAATTTCAGCAATTGTAGCAATTATTCTAGGCTCTTGGTTTTCACTGATTGATGAATTTTTCAGAAAATTCTTGTTCATGTGCCCTTCCAGTTTTCACTCTCTAACTCATTCTCTTCCTTGTCTGCCACATTTTCTTGTAGTAGCTTTGACTTTCTTATAAAAACTTTTATGAAGTTAAAAATTTCATTCCACATCTAAGTTATGTATGTTAGTGTTGGTATTCAGGATGAAGACAATCTCATGCTGACAATCACATTATCATTGCAACAAATTCGACTCCTGTTCTCATTTACATCGAAGCTCAGCGTCTCATCCAGCATTATTAAACATCTCCAGCCTCTCCCTCTCATATGCATCACAGCTATACATTTCTTTGATTCCACTTTGTAATTCCCTCCAGATGACTTAGTATAAATATCAAACAATTGTTACGTTTTGGCTTGTTTTTGCAGATGCTAGAGTACATTGTACTCCTGGGGGTGGTGGCCCTTATCACACTTGCTCTGTTCTGCCTCACCGAAGCAGGCACTAAAGAGACAAGCTTTGAAGAGGCTCTTGCTGAGCAAAGACTTCTCCACAAAGATGGATCAAATGCCAAGAACAAAAAGCCTAAGGTGGATTAAGGATTTTATTTTTTGCTTACTAAGTTGATTTGATATCATGGATGGGCTGATGAACAGCTTTTTTATGATTATTTCTAACTTAACTACGATTCAATGTAATTTTTGCATAAATTATTATAGCAATTTTTGTTTCATGGAAATATCATTTTACAAATTTATTGGACTTGAATTCAAAATTCTTGTATCTTACAGACTACTAAGAAAGTGAGACCTTCACGTCCCCGTGCCAGCCAGGCTACTGAGGGTGGGGCCCCAACCCGCTCTACATCCACTGGTCACGACTCCCCTGGTGGGGGCTAAGTTATAAATCCATAGCCTGCTTCATTCAGAGCATTGCTGAAATATTCAAACACACATGAGAATTTTCTCTTTAAAAACTTTTTGAACTGATAAGATCTAATTATAAAATTATTTTTTTAGAGTACAAAACATCTTATGCTGGCTTTATAACCTAGTGAAAAATGTACATCTATGCCAATAAGTGCAGTATGAAAATAATTCTGTCTATTCCATTCTAGGATAAACTTTTTATACATGTGAGTTGGAGATAAGATGAACTAGTTCCAATGTTTACTGATTAAATGAGGAGAATTATACATACTGCATAATTTCCCTTGAATTATTAAAAACATTACCAAAGTTATGCATTTAACATTTCTGAATTTCTCATTTCTTAAAATTTTTGATACATGACAGAGTGTTACAAGAATTTAACTCATGTCTGTTTCAGGTACAACAACAGAAGATGAAAACCATGAGGAGCTGCTGTTGGCTGAACAGCGACGCCACCAAGAACTCAAGCGTCAACAGGCAGAACAGGCACGGCAACAGGCAGAACAGGCACGCCTACAGGCCGAGGAACAGCGCAGACAGGCTGAGCTGCAGGAGCAGCAGAAGAAACTTGAAGAAGCGGCGCAACTCGAAAAACAGAAACAGCTGCAGCTTGAGCAACAGGAGCAGCTTAAAAAGCAACAGGTGGAGCAGCAGCTAAAGGAGATGGCTGAACAGGTCTGTTCATTTAGTAATTATAATTACACTCTTATTATTTATATATTATAAGGCATTTTACTATATGGTAAAAGCAAGATAACATTCTTTGGATTCATCCAACCAAGATTATATTTTTAATCGAGTCATTAATGTTCTACGTGCAGAGTTTTATCAATAGAACAAATGATTAACTGCTCGTTTGGAGTGCATCCATGTTTTATCAACGTTTGTTGTTGCAGTTTCTGCATTTTATTCACAAACTGCAATATTAGAACAGTAACGTGTAGAATGTATGTTTTGTGGTTAGTAACCTATTTAGCATTAATTAACTTACTTATTAGTACTTTTTGAAAAGTTTTTTTTTGTGTTTCAAACTGGTTGCAATAATCACAGGTTATCTTGTTATACCATTTCTTACGATGAAGTAATATAGGATAAAATTGAGTTCCTAATACTACCATTTCTTATGCTGAAGTAACTTGTAGGTGAACGTTACAGGACAATATTGAGTTACTGAGTTTTTGTTTCGAGTCTATATATATTCTATACATATATGCTTATTCTTCAGGAGGCCAAAAAGAATGAGAAGAAGAAGAAGCAAATGAAGCCTGATGATTCGAAGGCAAAACAGACGAGGCCAAGCAAGGCAACGGGGCTCATGAACGGCGTCCACACGGAGGTGCGTGCTGCTCTGTACCCACCACGCTTCTTACGTTGACATGATGTTGAATAAATGTTGTTTCAACATGATCAGTTCATTATAAACGTTTTTTCAACATAATTAGTTTATTATGAACGTTGTTTCAACATGATCAGTTCATTATAAACGTTGTTTCAACATGATCAGTTCATTATAAACGTTGTTTCAACATAATCAGTTCATTATAAAAGTTGTTTCAACATAATCAGTTCATTATAAACGTAGTTTCAACACAATTAGTTCATTATAAATGTTGTTTCAACAAAATTAGTTCATTATAAACGTCATTTCAACACAATCAGTTCATTATTAATGTCATTTCAACATAATCAGTTTATTATAAACATTTCAACATGATCAGTTCATTATAAACGTTGTTTCAACACAATCAGTTCATTATAAACGTTGTTTCAACATGATCAGTTCATTATAAACATTGTTTTAACATAATCAGTTCATTATAAACGTTGTTTCAACATGATCAGTTCAATATAAACGTTTCAACACAATCAGTTCATTATAAACGTGGTTTCAATGTAATCGATTCTTTATAAACATTGTTTCAATGTAATCAATTAAGGTAATTAGGGTATTGCTACACGGTAATTAGGACACAGCTATCACGGTAATTAGGGTATAGCTATCACGGTAATTAGGACACAGCNTTCTCTCTATCAACTCCTGCTGTCCATTACAGCTGTTTTCTCTCTATCAACTCCTGCTGTCCATTACAGCTGTTTTCTCTCCATCAACTCCTGCTGTCCATTACAGCTGTTTTCTATGTATTAACTCCTCTCTGTTACAGCTGTTTTCTCAATTAACTTCTGTACTCCGTTACAGCAGCAAGCGTGCAGACGATCCTACGTACGCTGGAGGAGGCGCAGCTGTCAAGGGAGCAGCTGCAGCAGGTGGTTGACATCTTGTTGGCAGCTGCAGCTGACGGCTGCTGGTCTGACGCCAGGAAGGGACCCAGCGTCAGCGTCAATAAGAAGCTCGATGATGCCTACGCTACCATCGGCCTCATGCAGGTACCATTCTATATAAGTATTATCATTTATAGTATTTATATGAATCTTGGTTATAGGTAGGTTATAATAGTAATAATTTTATACATTATTTGTGCTTTCCGACAGTGCGTTAATAAATAATAATAAGGTGTGTATAAAATATAATTGCTAATTCCTCTCAGTGGAGAAGAAATGTTGAAAGTTTTCTCGTCCCTTTTTAATATATTCATATCAGCCGATCAAATAGTAATGATACATTCAGCCAAAGAGCTGATATGTATGAGTAACACACTGCTGAGTAACACATCAGTGATACACAGATGTGTAATGTATTGATGCTGTGTGTGTGCAGGATGATATGTATGAGTAACACATCAAGGCCACACATACGTGGAATGTATTAATGCTGTGTGTGTGTACAGGAGGCGCAGTCAGCACTCACGGTGACGATCAGCGACCTGCGCACAGAGCTGAACAGCGAGCGCTCCCAGAGCGTGCAGCTCCGACATGCGATGGACGCTGCAAACGCTGAGCAGCAGCTGCAGCTGCAGGTGAGCTGACTGGTTGTGGCAGTGTGCTGACTGGTAGTGGCATTGTACTGACCGGTAGTGGCAGTGAGTTGACTGGTCCACACTCTACCACACTCTACCCACATCCTCAGCTGCTCCATTCACAACTAGCACCTGACTCTTCTCTGGGCTAAAGAGAACATTGAGATCCTTGCCATACTCAGTTATACAGTCAAGCATATTCTGAAGTTCAACTCCATTTTCACTCATTATTACTGCATCATCCGCATACAATAAGATTTTTAGTCTTTCATCTCCAACACACATTCCCACATCCATTCTTCTCAGTCTAGCAGCCATCTCTTCAGTGTATAGGCTGAAGAGAAGTGGAGACAGGATACATCCTTGTCGAACACCCCTCACGCACTTCACCCAGTCAGTCTCTACATCTCCAAGCCTATATTTAGCTCGAGTGTTCACATCCATACTTTTAACGATCCTCACATACTTTTCACTCATACCAATTTTTTCCAATATCTGGCACAACAATTTTCTGTCAACTCTATCATATGTCTTTTCTATATCTATGAACGCCAAGTACACTCTCTTTCCATCTCTCTTCATTCTTTCAATCAATTCATTCACAACAAATATGTTATCTTCTGCTCTTCTGTCAAACCTGAAACCATTCTGCTCCTCACCAAGTACTCTCTCGCGCTCCATACATATTTGCATTTGCTCATTCAAAACTGCACAGAAAATCTTACTGCAGGTGTCAGCAAGAGCAATTGGCCTGTATTTTTTCAGTTCCTTTTTGCTCTTGTGGCCTCCCTTGTGCAGCAAGGTAACCTGGCTTTCATTCCATGCCTCAGGTACACATTCATTCATCCAAACAACATTGAATAGGTCAGTCAGTCTACCAATTGCACTCACACCTCCATACTTATACATCTCATATGGTATCTCATCCATTCCAGTTGCCTTATTGTTCTTCAGTCGCTCTACCACCCGTTTCACTTCCACATTTGTAATTTCCCCATCTATACCACTCAGATCTTTATGTTCTAGAGATATGAGATTTTCACCAGGCATAAATTCCTCGTTTACCCCACCTAGGTCTTCCCAAAACTCTTTCACAGCTTCAGCCATTCTTGTTCTCTCAGTCACATACACTCCTCCTATGTTCAGCCCATCCACTCTCAGACCTTTTTCCCTATTGTCACCTCTTAGGAATGCATACCATTCCCGTCCACCTCTCTGTCCATTCAAAATAAATTCATTCATCCTATTTCGCTCATACTACACAATGTGCTTTCTAATGATCACTTTTGTTCTTCTCAGTTGTTCTTCATACTTCAGCCATGCTTCCTGATATAGAAAAGACGAATGGGTGGTGACAGTACGGGGTGCGATTGGGATAGAGTGGGATGAAAAAGAGTGGAAAAGAGAAATAAATAAGCAAGTGAAAGACTATGGGCTGAAGGTGTGGAAGCAAGGAATGGAGGGAAAGGACACTAAGACTGTATCAGATGAAAGCGATGCCAAAATATGAATGTATGTATGATGGTATTAGAGGTGGGGACCTTCTGTTTTGTGTTAGGGCAGGTGCGCTAGGTGTGAATGGACGTACATACAGGTGGAATGAGAGGAGGGAAGATAAATGTTTTATGTGTGATGAGGATGAGAAGGAAACTGTGGAGCACTTGTTGATGGAATATGAGTGTACGAGAGAGAGCGTCAGTCTATGATGGAGGTGATTCTGAATGAGAGAGGTGAGATTAATGAAGTGGGGCTCGAGAGTACAATGTATGAACAAGCGAAGAGTGGAGACCACACCTCTCCACTTCCATTGCTAAATCCCAAACATCTCTCTCAACAGGCAACCAGGATGGGAAATATATTTTCCAACGCCGTCGTCACCGTTACGTGTGACATCTGTAAAGCGACCTTATCCAGTAGGTAAGAAATTACTAATTCAACAGCTCAACTTCTTTCTCTGATTTAAATTTTAGTTTTATTCTTTTTAGGTTAACCCAGTAGCACCCAAGCCGCCCATGATCCCCTGTTGGGGATTGTCTGTTTTTGTGGATATAATTCATTAACTATTTATAAGGAAGTTATTTCTCCTTGTGCAGGTCAGCCCTTCAACGCCACATCAGAACCCACCACCGGGAGGAACGGCCGTTCCGGTGCCATTTCTGTGAGTCCGCATTCAAGCGCAAAGACTACTTAGACGAACATATAATCAGACACACTAAACACCCCTAAACACACACAACGAATTGTCCTCTTTAAACGTTATTCGCCGTGACTGGCTGAAACGGTTGGCCAGCCAGTGAATTTTTTTTAAATAATAATCACTGTGATTGTATCATTTCTGTATTAGAACGTAAATATTCACATGTTACTACCTGGGCATTAAAGCAAACTGCATTAATTAATTTTGACTCGCTACCCTGTCTTGCTTTGTTTTGGGATCCCCTCCTGTGCTTTTATAGTTTAAACTTCTGTTGTCCATTGGCGATCACTTAATTTTAGTCCTTATTTCAATGCTACCGTATATATTTCAGCTATCAATGTTCTACTCGCTAGTGCATACGGGCACTAAACTCTATGTCCGTAGTAAAGGTTTGTTTAAAAACATTGAGGGCTGAGACAGAAAAATGGGTTGCACGTGCTCGTATGCAGCTTAAACAAAATTGTCTTAAAAGATGCTAAGTATTTTTAGAGATAATTGAGATAGATGCTAAAGAGTGTGGGAGATGCCAGCTATACATTATTCTTCTTTAGTGATCGTGTTGCCTTACTTGCAAATAGAAAAAATGCAAGTGTTTAACTATAATGTCGATAGTTTTACTTAAAGGATTGCTTGTATTTCTTCATGTGAATGATGGAGCCAGCTTTACTAGGGATATATACCAACGTATCGTGCTCTGAATAAACATTTTTTCCTTCTGTCATTGCTTCGTTGATTCTATTTTTGCTGCCATAACTATCATCTTGAAAAGTTGAACTTTTTTGTTTAGGAGAGATATATTACAGTCTTAAGGATCTGTTTCTTTAAAGATATCCCCATGTAAAGGGCAACATGTTTAACTGTGATGTCGACACTTTTGTAACTCGGCTAACATGGAATTGGTTTCGTTTTGCCGCAGTATTTCATTGCGATCTTTCGTGTTGTATTTTAATTTACTGTGTTTATTTTAATGAGTAATCGGAACATATTATCGACATTTTTCTACTCGAGTTCTACGCAATACGGGAGAACTGTGACGCCTGTCTTACGTAACGTAAATCGTTATATCTTGCATGTGCGGTGAAAAGTTCCTTTTTCGCATGGATTAAAAATGTTTTTACATGGCATCGTTTTGTAGAAGTTTATATCGCTGAATGATGGAAGTCAGAGCGAGACTTAGATCTATCTTGCAATAATACCGTGTATGGAAGATAGTATATTTTTCTCTACATTAAATATATGTTGAAAGTATCCACTGTAAGGTCTCAATGATCGCCTTCCACGTCTCCATTAGTGTCTTATCTGAAGGCCGTAAATTTTACAACCAAGTCTGTTAACCAAAACATAAAACCGTATAGTGCATAGAAAAGTTCGAGCTTGATAAATTATATCACTTTGATTGGTTACTAGAACCATTTTAAAATGAAACACAATGCAATATCAGGTCACATTTATTAAAGTGTAGAATACAGATCCATATTTTCATCCGTTATTCTAGTTGGATTTTCTCGAGTGCAATTGAAATGAATTTTGGATACTTGCAAGACAGACACGAGGCTGGTGAATGTCACAGAACTTTTTTTATTTATGAAGCTACTCCAATTAGATCTTCATAAATAACATTTCTACTATTCTGGACTCTCACATGAGTAAACTTTATACCTATTTTGGCGTTGGAATAATGCAAGATTAGGAGGCATTGGAGAAGAATCCCCTTAGTGTGGAAACAGAGTACTGATGGTCCGTAATTTTCAGTAACGTTTATAATTGGTAGCACTAATACAAGGGTTCCTTGGCGTATAGTAGATTTTATCTAAAGCTGAAATTGTCATTTGCGATGAGTCGTGTCATTTGCAACTCAGCGATATTCTAACCATAACTTGAATAGAACTTGGACTATGATGTTTGGTGCACGCGCGAAATATATTGTGACCCTGTCTCTTTTTTACGAATACGGCTGAGTATTCATTGAATATTACGAACATCGAAATCTCATCAAGTTGCAACTCGTTGCAACTGGGGGCACTGGGGGCTGTGGCTGCGACTCCCGCTGGACCACGACGAAGAGGATGACGAGTCGCTCTCGGGGGGCGGCGTGGGCCGGTGGTATGGAACCGGCCGCTTCCGTGCACTGAAATGTTCGGTACTCTCAGAACTCAGAACTGGATGCTAAACTTGATAATGTTGAGAAGAGTGATAAAGTTTAATCTGAACTTTCAACTTTAAAATTGTAATTCAGTGTGATAAATGAGTAATTTAAATTAAACACATTCAAGAAAAATCCTATAATCCTAAAATTGTCCTTTAATCGGCAAAAATATACGAGGCAGTTATTCCTTGCAACTGCACCTCCCGACGAAGGGGCGAGGAAATTCATCAATTGAGTTTTTTCTGCGATTTTTATATCTCAGTAAACAAATTAACAAGTGCAATATCATTTTACAAATAATATAGATTGTAAGTTGATCAAACAACCCGTAAATGTAGTCCAGTCAAACCTCCTTTCTGAGATCAGGGGCCGTGCTATCATAAGTATACGTAGCGGTCACTGTGCAGGGTGGCACAGTGGCAACCGTTCAGAGTACACCAAGATCGGAGTTGCGAGCTATGTGTTCGATCCCAGCTTCCCGCGACACTAAAACCGGCGAGGAGGCCGGGCGGTTAAGCAACGCAAAATTGGAATAGTGATTTGTGTTCGAGACCCACAGCAAGCAGTGAATGTTCTGTGATGTTATGAATCGGTGATATGTCTAACAGCATATTTAATGCAGACACTACTATACTACACGTAGCGCCTTAAGTACACATATAGCGGCTAATTTCTCTCCTGGTATCGGTTGGTTAAGCTCGAAAAGACGTTGGGCGGCCAGACTTACTAACTCATAAATATTTTTAAAAGTACGGTCTCAACGCGCAACCTTATAATGCGGCAACTTCATGTTTATGTGAAATAAAATTAATATAAGAATGAAAAATGATAAAACTACAAAACATAACCAAAAATAATTTTAAAAAACAGCAGGCAAACCTTGTGATCCGCCGCTTGTCCAAAAACGACGGTGACCCACGACGTCTAGGTATGGAAACCGACCGAGATCTACTTCTAGATCTGGAGGACGATCTTGATCGCGATATTGATCTTGAGTAAGACCGGGAGCGGGATGAAGATCGGCTGTAGGATGTAGTTCTCGATCGTTTAGATCGCGATCTAGATTTTGACCGGCTCTCACTTCGGGTTCTCGAACGGCTTCCATGTTTCGATCGCGATCCTGACCTAGACAAAGTTTGGGACCGATGTCTAGTCTGTGACCTTTTTGGTGATCTTGATCGAGATCTGGAGTGCCGTGAGGGTGATCGAGATATGGAGTGCCGTGAAGGTGATCGAGATCTGGAGTGCCGCGAAGTTGATCGAGATCTAGAGTGCCGTGAAGGTGATCGAGATCGATACGGAGACCTGGATCGCGAAAAACTCCGAGATCTTGATCTTGACGACTTTGACCCAGATCTTCTGTGCTTCGATCGTGATCTGGAGTGAGACCTGAAATGCATGAATACTTCACATTGACTTTAAAAAATACTACGAGGTTAAGTTTCGAATAACCGGAACCTAGTTCTCACGGCGATAACTGACATCTTTACAAGAACATTGAGAAATCAACTGTTTGCAGTAACAATATAATTTAGCAAATAACAATAGGAAGTTTGTACATACGTGCGCAACGATTAATGCGCACATGACACTGTAGTTCATACCTGCTCTAGAGTGATAAATATTGTTCAAAATGTGCGGCAACTTCGGAACGATACGACCTTAACTAAATACAGTATAAACATTTAAGCATTGTCGGCGTTAACGTTACGTATGAATAAATGATTTACAAGCACTGTATTGCGTAAAAACAATTTCAAGAACATAATGGAAATAAAGTATTGTGATCAGAGCCGTACGCACCGAGAACGCGAGCGGGAGCTACTTGACCACGGAGGACGCTGGCCTTCATCGGAGGTGCCTTGTTCAAACCAGCTTGCTGAAGAACGCCGCTGTCTGCATGCACAGCGGGAAGCTTGCCATTCGCCATTGACGCCACGACACTTGCATTTTGAGGCTGCGGTTGCGAGGATTTTTTTCCGTTGCATTCAAGTGTCTGATTTAATTTAGTCAACAATGGAGATCGGGGGTCAGGAAGGGAAGGGGGCTTCAAACCAGGCACGGAAGTTACGGAATCTGTTCGGTTATCATCTTCATCTTCTTCGTCATCAGGAAACGTGAGACTAAGTTTATAACTATCTATCTTCTTACGGCCTAACACAGCAGTCGTGTCCTTACTGCCGGAGACGGTAAGAAGACGCCTCAAAGTCTCACGCTTCTCATCACTGAGAGAATTCGATGAGCCGGCAGCCCTGCCTGCACTTCCCTCGCTCGGTCTGTAACCATCTTTGTTACTCAGCGCACCAGGTCTACTGTAGCTACTAATTTTCACGGACACCGAAGCCTTGTGACAGTCACTTTTCTCTTGCTTGACTGCCCCATTGAGCATGCTTGGTTTGGTATCAAGTTGAGATTTATCCAGGCAAGTTTTACCCCCGTAAACGTTCTTCATCCGTTTTCCTTTCTTCGATGACACCGACATCTCACTCGAGTCTTCGATGGGTGGAGCGTCTCCGCGATCGCAATTTTCGTACTCGTCAGCGTCAGCGCTCGCTCTCCCGTTTGCCCCATCGTCGCCGCTGTACGCAATGCGAAATCTGTTACGAATCTTGTTCGTGCTATTCGCGTCAAATAAGAAACTTATGTAGAATATTAAAACGAGAATCTAATGCATAAAAGTTAATTTTATAGTCACTGAGTGAATTCTACATCACACAATAGTGTAAATGACAACCTTAATATCATGCGGTAAAAATCATTGTTTTGATCGAAAATAATAACACCAGTTCACATGAGCACAAGAGAAATAACATCAGGTAAAAATCTTGGTTCACAGGAGCTACCGAAATACTCACCCCCCGACGGTGTATCAAGTCCGGCAAATCTCAACGTATTACGTCATCTTTGGCGACTCATCCAACAGTAAATGGTATTGTTGTGACCTAAGCTGCGGGTTCACTAAAGATGATGTGAGCACAAACCTTGTTTGTGTAGATTGTTGCTCCGGCTAAGGCGTTCATTGTTGAAGTTTGGCCATAATATGACTAGTTAGACGGGTTTCTAGGAGAACACACTTAACGGCGACTTGCAAGCATGACTCATTTCTAGCGCAGGCTGTCGTAAACTCTAGCGATAATAAAGGAAAAATAAATAAGTGGAAAAGTCTGCTAATAAAACTACATTCACCAATGGAACGGACAATAAATAAAAAATTTTGGTGATTGTAAGGAAGATTTTTGAGTGTTTAGAAATTAAAATAAATTAGAACTGCAGATGATTTTAAGCAATGAATTGAGATAGAATCATATCACAAGAGTAAAATTCCTTACAACGCTCGAGCGAGCCGTTACGAAGAATGCAAATCTTCGTTATAGAACTCATTCTTTAAATATCAATCAACTAACAACGCTTTCCTTTCAAACTGATTCGCTAAAGTTAACAAGTAGAAAATCAAAGTAGATGAAACGTGTTGAAACTACGATGAACGAGATTCATCAGATTGTGTAGACATACCGATTCACGTGAGTTCTCTCGCGCAGCTGCGCAGCTAAATGAATGTCAATCGTTCATAAATTCGTTCTAAATGAACCATTAACGGAGATTGTCATTAGCTGCGGAATGTAAACTTGTGCAATTTTTGCAATCGGCTGACGTAAAGGTAGGAGAACAAACGGCCGCCGTGACAGAAAATACTGTAAGGGTCTCTGCAAAGTAAAAATAAAATTCTTTGAATATAACCAAACAAAGATGAAGTGAATGGAACTAAAAATTCATCTGTTCTATACCTGGAAACTACTTCTAGGCAAGCATAAGAGAAATGAAACAAAGTGGAGCTACAATGGAACAGCAATGCGGGAGTTCAAAGAGGATACTACATTGCGTGCAAGCTACAATTGAAACAGTATCATGAAGAAAATTAAGTGTGTTCTGGAGGAAAACAAAAAAAAAAACTCATACTAAACAGATATTTATTCTAGAGTGAGTGGAAGTAGAACAGTCGCTCGTGATGATAAACGTTACAAAAAAAAGCACAGGCTGCACGTAGACGCAGATTCTGTCATTTGGCAAAGACGATTCTAAAGACAAAACCTACACATCAAGTATTGAATTGTAGAAAGTTTAGAATTTGTAAATTTTCCATTTTTCGTAGATGAAAAGTACAATAGTACAAGCAATGTAGACGTAAGTAATGGCACAAGGCAAACATGTGAGCATATTTTTAAAAAGAATTTCAGTTTTTGAACGAATAAAAATTGCTGTCCGCTAGATTAACGATTCTAGTCTGGAATAAAAACACAAAACAGTATCTCCGTAAGTTATCGAGCGTGAAAATATGCAAGTGCTGCCTGATAAGCATCGATTTACAATTAGAGTGACGGCCTCGGGTAAGACAATGTAGCTACAGGGTAGCACACGCTAGACGGGTATACAAAATACATGCGGCTATCAATACACTATAAAAATAAACATAATACGTCGAATGCGATTCAGGGGAATAATTCAACGGATTAAGGAGAAAACAGACATAATAAATAAGAGGGATCCTGCCAACAAGATTTGTGCGCTGACTCCGATAGTTGTGTCAAGTGTTTCAAAATGAACTCTTTATTGACGAATTCAAAGGTTCACTACTAAGAATGCATCACACTCAACACTTGAAGAAATGACTGTTTTTGTCTCAGTAAATAATAAAAAGACTAAGATGACAATACGTCGATTAAATACACACGAGCAGGAAGCAGCGGATGTGAGGTGACGTGTGCAGCTCACCTCCGTTTCCGCAACGCGTTCTTTTTCCGGGGTTTAGACTTGGACGATGCATGATGTTCGCTGCCTCCGCTATCGCTGCTGTCACTCTCATTATTGCTACTGCTACTGCTGCTGTTGCTACTGCTGCTACTACTGCTGCTCCTCTTCTTTCTTTTATTGGTGCGCTGTGGACTCAGTTCTCTGCTAGGAGATCGATGTTGTTGGTGTCTTTTGCTGCTGCTGCTGCTGTTCGTATTGGTGGTGATGGTGCTGGTCTGTCAGGAGAACAGAAAGTCTGTCAGAAAATAATTTGAGCATGCAAATGTAGTCTTGATGCACACAAACATTCACAGATAAGAAGACACGACAGAGAGCAAGCAATACGGTAGAGTGGAGTTTGAAAAATTGAACGTCTATTATAAATTATGGAAAACAGATCTACAGGTTACACACATTCAGTTCCAGGATTATTAATTGCATGTACTAAGGAAATTGTACAAACGAACAATCAATGAGCACAACGAAAAGTTTTTCATAGTTGAAAATTAATTCGATAAGATATTAAGGAAGATAGAAGGTAAGAAAATTAGCAGAAGCAGCAGCAACGAATCGGTGCGATAGATACTTGATAGGGACAGCGGAGCCGACGAATCTTTCTCAAGGATGTTATACGAATCTTTTACTCGCTTCAAAACGAACAGGAGCAGAAGAAAAAGGAACAGAACGCATGCCCAGAAATTACCTAGAGTGCATGGTGTTAATTGAGCTGGCGTGTACTTTGATATGGTCGATCCTGAAGTCTTGTAATCAAGGTGAAATGAAGTGAAAGGCAAAAATATCAAAGAGTTACAAGAAGCGCAAGATAGTGAAAAATCAGCCATCACAGAGTAAATATTCAAGATATATGGAGTTAGGTGGAAGAAGACTGAAAGATCTCTGTGTTCCAGCAATGAAAATTATCAAGTGGTAAATTTCGTTGAATGGTCTTGGTACATGTACATTTTTTGACGGATCTCAGTAAAAGGCATAGACGATTACAATAAGTTGAAGAAAAAAACATGCGTGACTCTTAATTTTATGTTCCTAGCAACAGTAATTGTGGTGCGAGTAGAATTTATGAACTGAACAATTACCCTCAAGATATTAAAGAAAGTTTAAGGTGGCGAGACAGGATAAAAATTAGGTAAATTAATTGCACACATCAACTGCACTGGGTAACTCAAACCCCTGAAGTTTCTATGGATAAGTCGATTAGACTTACGTTGCATTCGAGACAGCCTTCGCTGGCAAGTAAGAAACAGGAACTTCACACATGCAAGTATGGCTGTACAAATATAATTAAACTCTTTCTCATTTACGAGAACTTGGGACGATATGCATGAAACTCGTACTTGCATCTCTCAGCGCAAGTAACAAAACTTGATCGAAATGCTGAGCAAGCGCAGTAGTTACAGCATAGAATCTAGTACAGCTTGTCAAAGACCATAGCGGCCGATGGTTTTGATGCGATAGAGGAAAATCCTTCTATCCAGGAACACCGTGTGATGCTTCTCTCAATAATATACAGAACATTCGAATAACAATCAAAGACCTGCATTCTTATTATTGGCTAGATAATAACCATCGGCCGCTGGCTAGGTTATGAAAGGGACTGAAATGGCAAAAGCATCAGCATGCGAGGAGTCGCAATCAATCAAATCTTAAGGCTTGTAGTCAAAATGCAGCGAAGTCTGAGAGGGAGGTTTTCGCGACCATCGTGTAAAATCCTTGATCTGCCCAAAGCTCGGCCAGTCGCTACCCTCGAGCTTGTACTCTTTGTAATATGATATCCTAGCCAGACCCTTCTTTGCGGTAACTGGTCGCTTTCAGGTGGCCGAGGAATGGCCAGCGGTCGGCTATAACTAATTGGATAGGCCGACCACTGGCCACGTATTATTCTTCGCCCCTCATTGACTTCGCCTTTACCATGCCACCCGTTGTGAACTGACAGTTGGAGTAATTTACGACGTCTCTTTCCCCTCAAACATTGCACAACGTCTCCATTTGAGCAGCTAGTATGCGGGATTTTCCCTCCGCGTATCAGCAGACTCGATCATAAATATTTTTTGGTGGAAAATATCTATAACAAGGAAGCTGATCAAGGAATGCCGAATATACCATTCAATTGACAATAAAAATTACAACCCGTTTATATCTCGAAAAAAGTGTAAAAGTCGCAGACATGATGAACAATAATATTCAAAGTTTCTTGAAATTTCCTCTCATTAAAACTCTTTTAATACAAAGTTTACATATTTTTTGTTACTGGTCGACGCTTATAAATAAATAGCTGGGTAAGTATGGAAAAATCCATATCGCCATCTCATTTGCGAGTGGAGTAAAGTCTATCCTAATTAGTGAAGAAACGCTTAGGGAAGAGCCGAGCCTGTTCGAAGCCTCTCGGCTTTCAATCAGGGCCTTAATCATGAGTCAACATTGAGACACTTGGTGTTCAAATGACACACTTGGTGTTTACTTGGTGTTCAAACCAACCACGTAATAATCACTGAGAAAAATCTCACGTTCACAGAATATTATAAATTATTTAATCACAAACAACAAACAGTGCTTGTGTGAACAGACTGATAGAAGGTGATATTTGATGCAAGCTGTCTAATGGTGAGGCTGGATATACGCTTTGGTGCAGGTTTACAAATGGCGTAATTACAAATAATCAAAATATTACGTTGTACAAACAGTACATTAGTAAGTAATCTCACAGTTATGAGAGGGAACAAAGTTTAGAAAGTGCCACAGAATTACTTCATATTCAGTCTAACGATAGGCCCCTACCACGCGAAGACAGCGTTAAGTTAAGAAATGAGATTGTAAGTTAATTCAACTGCTAACTTAAATTATACGGAATAAGCAAAAGACAGAAAATCGAACACTTCTTAACATCCTGAACATAATGCGTTTTGACGAATGTTACTACGAGTGATTATTATTATAACATTCGAAATGAAATTCACATTACTTGCGCAACCGGAAGAATGAATCTCAATCCAAACTCACGAGGGAATGAAATTTTTGTCGTGCAGCATAGAGGCAATAATGTATGATCTTCAGTTAACAAGAGTAATATTAATATATAAAGCAAATTAAAAATTAACAGTCATAAGAGAGTAAAAAAAGTAAAAGCTTCGCGTGGCAGGAGCTTCACTACGCTACATAATAATAATGATACTCAAACATCTTTATATATAATATAATTATCAGGAACAATGAAGTGACGATGGCATCGACACTGACGCTCGCGCCTGTCCTATCCCTGGTCCCGATACTTACTGCTGTAGGAGGTGGAGTGTCCCGCCGGGAGCGAGGCATAATATGGCAACAATGTGACACTTTAAACACCACCGTATCTAACACACACCCAACAACCCATTGGCTTCTTAGAGTCCCATACGTCGCTCTCCACACCGATGAGCTCAGCACAAAGCTTTTCACCCAATCAAAATTTAAGCGCGAATCAGCTTTAAGGCAGCGCCGCTTTTAATGAAACAAACCGGCCTAGAACAAACTAGATATACATAAAAACTAGATAGATACATATAGTCAGCAGACATGCACTGACAATTAGGAGCAGTGAACGTAATTCAAATGATCTTCCAGTCAATGCATTACGTGAAGTACCATATATGCACGACGCAACTCAGATGCCGGAAAAAAAGTCTCCACGCACGTCTCAGTCGCTCCCTTACAAGCAGATTCGCGTATAAATCTTCAAAGTTCACGATTAAAAACCCTCGATGTATGAATCACCCACAGAAAGCTTGAGCTCATTTAAAACAATCAATAAGTACAATAAAAATTCACAACTAAAAAAAAACTCATGAGTGCAAGTTGAACTTTAAGGAAATATTATTCTATTAGAAAAAAGCTCAAGGGCAACTTGAATTCTTTCGTATAGATTTATCTCACGTAGAATCGTAGAATTCCACCTTAAGCGAACACACAAAGAGAAACATTTTATACTTCAGTGCCCATAAATAATTGTATCAGATGGAGTAGCTGTAGTCTGGTTGCAGAGTACAATAATAGAGGCTGGACAAACATTGTTATGATCAAGTATAATGCGCTTAATACCGTCTCTTATTAAATCTATGTTAAAAGGTATATGTGTGACGATAAGTAAAGTACATGCTTACCTGTGCTCTCTAATTCTGTTCCGTTAACAACGAGAGAGGATAATAATGGCCATTAGATGAATTCGAGCAAAATAACGCACGCAACAGTTTAGAGGACAAATAGTTTTGAGCAGCGCACGCTCGCCCTGCATCCAAATCAGAAAACCAACATAATGACTTAAAAACACTTGAAAGACCTACATTATCTCAGCGCACTGATTAAACTAACACCGAGCTGGAAATTGAGCTAATCATTAAAATTGGGACCATCAGTTGTACTTTGGCCACGTGATTCAAATTAAGAAAATTAGATAGATTAAACGACGCCTCAAATCTAACCGACTTAGATATAGTAAAATACATACATAGTTAAATAGTTTAAAAAATTTAGTCTTTACGTTCAATTACATGTATATATTCACACAAGGCGTTGGTAACAGGCAGTTATTAAAGAATTGAAACCCTGGGAGTCGCGCGCACGTGAGCGCTCGTTCAGAAGGTGGGCTTTCGTAAGGTATTGAGAAATAGCACATCAGCCTGCAAAAAACACATATTTTGACGCTAGAATAAGAGTCAATCTAGAATCATGAAAGCGACTAGTGAATGAATGAATTTACAATTGGTGTTCGGATTTAGAAGCGGGCGGCAGCTGAGTCCAAAGAACACAAACTCGGTTATAGCTAACAACACATCAGCAGCAGCCGCGGATCTCTAAACCTCGATTCAGATCGTCGTCAGTAGAACAAACAAGGGCTAACTTCACAATCAAAGACTGGGAAATTTCACCCTTGCGCAGCATTCTTTGGACTTAATGAACTTTTCCCTTAAATGAGGTTTGATGAAAAATACAAAAAGTCGTATAATTCCATTTGGGTTTTCTTTCAAACCTCATGCATATTGAGTGAACTTGGGCAATCATCAGGCCAAGATAGAGGTGAAATCAACGCGGAATTTTTGTTCAGAAAAACATATTGAAGGGAAATATGTACATGAATTGGAATTAATTTGATATCGTAAATTTGATGAGAAATTTAAATTCATCTGAGTTCTTCCACATCGGAGACACGATTATGACATCGATCTGCAGAGGCTTAGAAAAGTAGCGCAGGAGGTAGCGATATTTGTAACATAAAATAGTAATGTTCGTCTTGAGAGACAAATGAACAAGAGTATTTCAATGTATAGAGTGAGTTGAGGAGCCTATAGAGCGCCGTACCTTGACGCCACTGGAGCGGCGGCCAGACGACGCGTCGCGAGACGGAGATGCTGAGCGCTTGCGAGGCTCTCCACGCTGACCGCTGCGACTCTCCCGACTGTCAAAAAAAAACTATATATATATAAACTATATTATTATCTTGCCTTCACAATTTAAAATACATATCACCACAAAGTTTATATTGCAGCTGCATATTGCGTACACAGATTGAATTTTAAATGGACGAAGCAGCGGTATCTACCATACGAGCTTCGTACTACCGTCAAGTGGGGTGACTTCGGCCACCACTACAACAGAAACAAATGACAGCAAGCAAAATAAAATAATAAACGTTAGCCAAAGTGACTGGGGGTGACTTCGGCCACCGGGGTGACTTTGGCCAACGTTTATTATTTTGTTTTGCTGCCATTTGTTTCTGTTGTAGTGGTGGCCGAAGTCACCCCCGGTGGCTGATGTCACCTCACTTGACGGTACTCATGGACAACTCACACGTCAGAGTCGTCCACAGACTCAGACGACGAGGAGGACGAGTGGCGACGTTTTTTTGTCTTGGTTTCCTTCTTCTTCTTTTTCTTGCTCACTTTTGTTTTGGGGTGTTTGCTGCGTTTAGGTGAAGCGCTCCTGCAAAATTAAAACAATTCGTTAAAAATACTTTTCTACATTCATGTAACTATGAATTATGTCACTAATTGGCGTTAGTTACATAATCCAGCAAGTGGATATACGAATATACGCGTAAATACCAATACCATACAAAAGATGCCACATCCGAACCACAGCCGTACAGTTTGTCAGGGAGAATAAGATAAGAGCGAAGGATGAATTACTCGCAGTTCTCTCCGGTGAACTATGACGACAAATAATTTAACAAATTCTATATGACGCCTTCATGGCGAGAATTCAATATATCGAAATAAATTACGAGAAGAAAATAAGAAGGACGGAGGCTATTTTGTTACCCACGTTGATACTCGGAACAAAGAACCATAATGATTTAAAAACACGATCAAAATACTCGTGAATTGAGACGAAATATATACAGTACATAATACCCCTCTCTGAATTAGTGTGCCATGTATTCTTCATCACCTGATATATAAAATATTTGCTAAGGAAAATTGACAGATAACTTGTGCGCATTAACTTGGAGTGAGTCAAAGCGATACTTAAATACAACAATCTTGATTAACGACTGAAAAAAAATTTCTACTTCAGTAGAAATTTTCAGTAGAAAAAAAAATTTCTACTTGCAACACAATTAAGAACGGAAAAATCATACAAGTAGTTTTTTGGTTAACATTCTCGGCGGGTGTTGATAAATCTTCAGCAGCATAATTGATGTCGCAGTGTAACGCAAATTCAACATGATAAACGTACAAATCTGAATTAATCAACAGAGCAGGCAGTCAGTCATGTGATTTAGAGTGAACATGTATACCTAACCGAAACTAATTAAAGTACATAATTTATAATTATTTGAAGGTATTTATTCCCAAAACGACAGAATTAGACATGTTTACCTTTGTTCCCACAGAAGTGAACAATCCTCAAGATTAGCAGTGAGGCATTAACGGAAAGGGAAGACACGGCACTGCGTTTTGATGGATTGACTTCAATTTAAGGAAGTGTGCAACAATCGATTACGGAGGTGCAGGAACGAGCAAGTTTTGATGTACCGGTTCATACAGACAATATATACTCACATACAGACAATACTGACTTAATAAAGACTCACATCGATGGCATGCTACACTAAATTCGTCCATAAGGAGGCAACGAAAGGCAGACGGGTCCTTCGTAGCACAAGATCTTTACGGCAGTTCTCACAAATGAGGGAAGAAACCATAAAACTCAAATAACTATATCATGTTTGTACGGGGCAAACGAAGATATATGTTTTACATGGTGACATCCAATGAGCACAATATGCTTCCATTTGATTTGTCTACGAACGTTAATTAAATCAAGCTGTTGCTCTTCGTGCGAGAATTCATCCTCTGTAGACGCTATTTATACCTGAATCATTATTCAATCTTTTGATTTGCAGTTTAGATGATTGGATACAAAATGTAATATGAGAGATACGGTACGTCAAAAATAGCAAAAAAATCAGTCACGTCAACGGACGCTGATAAAAGCACCATTGTTCAATCAGGCTAAATCCTTTCCTTTCTACTATAGGTTAAATGAGAAAGAAAGAAAATGCATGAAGTAGCCGAACATGTAAAACATAGTAGTTTTAACTGAGATATGGGTGAAATTCAATTAAAATAATCATGCAATACCTCGTTTAAGCAGGAAAAAACATTTTAAGAATAATAGACGGTCAGAAAAAGTGTAATTTTTAGTTTATAATACGCAAGTATTATTACGACAGTTAAAGTAAGAACTGTGCGTGAATAATATCAATGTTGCTTCAAGAGATACCAGAAATATCCAAATTACCCGAGTCAGAAAAAATCTAAATATTGGTAAAAGAGTGATTTTTAGGCAAGCACTCTTCTAGAATTAAAACTCGGGCCTTGGTACATTACGTGACATGCTACACCTCATGACAGGGCAGTGGCAGAGACAAGAGCTAACAAGAAGCAAAAGAATCAACAGCGACGCTGGTGCGATAAACTGGGTGCAGTTTATAAGACACATCAAAGGTAAGGAGCTCAAGGTTGACACAAATAGAAATTATAGTTCTTGTAAATGCAACAATTATAACCAAGTGTACATCGAGTAGTATATATGGAATTAAAGTATGCATGAGAGATAAGAATATCAAAGCTTAATCGGCCAAAAGATAAGTGAGAAGGACGAGGAGGAAATCGCAGACACCTACACAGTAACCAAACAGAGCTCAAGCGGTAGGTCATATTGATGCTACTAAGATCACACGGAGACATTATGGATGGCAACTGAACTGATGAGTCAGTTGAAAGGATCTAAATGATGAAGCGTTCAACAGTTGATGCGCACACTAACTAATAATAGCACGCAGCTAATTTGATTGAAGTTGACAGGCCGGTCTTAGAAAATGAAACGTCAAATTTTATTCATTTGAAAAATGATGCATGAAACTAAGGCGGATTGAAAGCCTGTATGTCCATTTCTGGCCTTGAAATGGTCGCTAATGATCAATTATTTATCATTGGAATTATAAGGAAGAGATAAGTGAACTGTGAGGGGTAGGATACTTGTGGAGACAAAAGAACTCGACAGAAAGGGCAGATCTAACGTCCATAATACAGCTCCAGAAATAATTCGTTAAAGATGCATAACATAAACGCATTGTCAAAGAATTAAATGCATACCTAAATCACAAAACAAAACGTCCTCGTTTTGTGCCAAAATAAACAAATAAGCAAATAATTAAGAGACTGACGAGAGGAAATTGAGTGACTATAAAAATAATTTTTAGGAAAACCTCTTTTTATTGACAACCTTGTATGTATGTTAGATCATGTCAATTTTACAAAACACATTGCATGTGATAGTAAAGCGACCTATCAACCTGTCTGATCATATCTGAAAGCATGAAATCATGACGGAGATGGCGATAGAATCTAAAACGTTTAGGAAACCCTCGAAATGCGGGTTTTAACCACTGTATAATGTAAACACCAACCAAACCCTGTCAACTGCGGAGGTGCTAGTCCTACAGTCAACTAATCTTATCAACGCAGTCAACCGTGTGTCCTTACTGCCGGAGACGGTGAGAAGACGCCTCAAAGTCTCACGCTTCTCATCACTGAGAGAATTCGATGAGCCGGCAGCCCTGCCTGCACTACCCTCGCTCGGTCTGAAACCATCTTTGTTACTCAGCGCACCAGACCTACTGTAGCTACTAATTTTCACGGACACCGAAGCCTTGTGACAATCACTTTTCTCTTGCTTGACTGCCCCGTTGAGCAGGCTTGGTTTGGTATCAAGTTGAGATTTATCCAGGCAAGTTTTACCCCCGTAAACGTTCTTCATCCGTTTTTCTTTCTTCGATGACACCGACTTCTCACTCGAGTCTTCGATGGCTGGAGCGTCTCCGCGATCGCAATTTTCGTACTCGTCAGCGTCAGCGCTCGCTCTCCCGTTTGCCCCATCGTCACCGCTGTACGCAATGCGAAATCTGTTACGAATCTTGTTCGTGCTATTCGTGTCAAATAAGAAACTTATGTAGAATAGTAAAACGAGAATCTAATGCATAAAAGTTGATTTTATAGTCACTGAGTGAATTCTACATCACACAATAGTGTAAATGACAACCTTAATATCATGCGGTAAAAATCATTGTTTTGATCGAAAATAATAACACCAGTTCACATGAGCACAAGAGAAATAACATCAGGTAAAAATCTTGGTTCACAGAAGCTACCGAAATACTCACCCCCCGACGGTGTATCAAGTCCAGCAAAAACTCAACGTATTACGTCATCTTTGGCGACTCATGATCACTCATCCAACAGTAAATGGTTTTGTTGTGACCTAAGCTGCGGGTTCACTAAAGATCAGGTGAGCACAAACCTTGTTTGTGTAGATTGTTGCTCCAGTTAAGGGGTTCTTTGTTGAAGTTTGGCCATAATATGACTGGCTAGACGGGTTTCTAGGAGAACACACTTAATGGCGACTTGCAAGCATGACTTATTTCTAGCGCAGGCTGTCAACTCTAGTGATAGTAAAGGAAAAATAAATAAGTGGAAAAGTCTGCTAATAAAACTACATTCACCAATGGAACGGACAATAAATAAAAAATTTTGGTGCTTGTAAGGAAGATTTCTGAGTGTTTAGAAATTAAAATAAATTAGAACTGCAGATGATTTTAAGCAATGAATTGAGATAGAAATTCATAGAATCATAACTCATGAGTAAAATTCCTTACAACGTTAGAGCGAGCCGTTACGAAGAATACAAATCTTCGTTATAGAACTCATTCTTTAAATATCAATCAACTAACAACGCTTTCCTTTCAAACTGATTCGCTAAAGTTACAAAGTTGAAAATCAAAGTTGATGAAACGTGTTGAAACTACTATGAGCAAGATTCATCAGATTGTGCAGACATACCGATTCAAGTGAGTTCTCTCGCGCCGCTAAATGAATGTCAATCGTTCATAAATTCGTTCTAAATGAACCATTAACGGAGATTGTCATTAGCTGCGGAATGTAAAATTGTGCAATTTTACACGGAATATCACTGCTGCAAACCCTAAACCGAGCGAAACGACGTCGTAAACGAAGAATTTTTTCCGAAGAATTTAACCAAAAACCTAATTGCAATCGGCTGTCGTAAAGGTAGGAAAACAAACGGCCGCCGTGACAGAAAATACTGTAAGGGTCTCTGCAAAGTCAAAATAAAATTCACTGAATATAACCAAACAAAAATGAAGTGAATGGAACTAAAAATTCATCTCTTCTATACCTGGAAACTACTTCTAGGCAAGCGTAAGAGAAATGAAATAAAGTGAAGCTCCAATGGAACAGCAATGCGGGTGTTCAAAGAGGATATTACATCGCGTGCAAGCTACAATTGAAACTGTATCATGAAGAAAAAAATTAAATGTGTTCAGGAGGAAAATGAAAAAAAAACTTTTACTAAACAAATATTTATTCTATAGTGAGTGGAAGTAGAACAGTCGCTCG